GATCTCAGTACGTGCCGTCTTGTGCGCCACACAAGTTAAGATAATTCCCTTTAGCTGAGAAGTTTGCAATCAATAAAGGTTCATTAGCAGTATAAAAACTAGGAATTCTTATCCTTGTAAAGGATCACTAATAGCTGAAGGTTTACAGTCCCTTAGCAGTATAAAAACCATCCCTGTAAGGGACCTGTGTGAGCTGAAGCTATAAAGGTACTTTTGCTGGATAGGAACTAGTCTCAACCTTTATTTTCCTGGCACTATAGTTTTCCTTTAAATCGTGTTACTAAAATGGAGGTATTTTAAGTTTTACACTTTTTTATACATTTTTCATGAGAAAAAGATGAGGGATCTAAAGAAACGTATTGCGTAAGTCAGAAATGTTTAAAAAAGTGATTAGGGAGTAAATGAGTTGTAGTAACCCTTTAAACATGAGATTGACTTTGAATTTTGATTTGAGTGAATAATAATGAGTGTGTTTGCCTTTAAGGACACAATAATAAATGAATAACCCTCAGAAAAGAGTGAATGGAAGATTGCATTGAGTTGATCGCCCTCTTGTGGTGGGAGAGAAAACGAAAAAGCAAAAATAAGCCTACAACACCCGGCTGGTCTTGGTGTATCCGTAACCTTCTCGCAGCCACTGTAACCGTAACCTACTCGCAACCGTCTCCCATCCAAGACCTGCCCAGGCTCCTCCTTGCTGCGCTTCCGAGATCGTGGGATCGGGCAGATTCATGGAGCTACAGCCGTAGGCCGGAAGTGCAGCTTGACAAAGATCCTCTTATCCTTCTCCCAGGCTCCGTCAGCACTGGCTGCTGCTCCCACTCACTGCTCTCACAGAGCTTCACATTGGAGCTTCTTTCAAGCAATCAATGTGCTTCTCAAATGGAGCTCATTCTCTCACATTCACTCCATCTTCTTATTCACTGATTCCCATTCACATCCTCCAAACTCACACTTTCTTTTAGCTCTTCTTATTTTATTTTAACACAACTGGAGCCTGCTTTTATTCACATTTATTACTCTCCCTTTTCAACACTAGCCCAGCTTTACTGCCTGGCTATAGAGCTCCCTACACTATACATACAGAGCTCCCTGCACTATATATACAGAGCTCCATTATACAGAGCTCCCTGCACTGTAATACAGAGCTCCAACATACAGAGCTCCCTACACTATACATACAGAGCTCCCTGCACTATATATACAGAGCTCCATTATACAGAGCTCCCTGCACTGTAATACAGAGCTCCAACATACAGAGCTCCCTACACTATACATACAGAGCTCCATCAAACAGAGCTCCCTGCACTATACATACAGAGCTCCATCATACAGAGCTCCCTGCACTATACAGAGCTCCAACATACAGAGCTCCCTGCACTATACATACAGAGCTCCACCACACAGAGCTCCCTGCACTATACATACAGAGCTCCCTGCACTATACATACAGAGCTCCTTCAAATATACATACAGAGCTCCATCATACAGAGCTCCCTGCACTATACATACAGAGCTCCATCATACAGAGCTCCTTCAACTATACATACAGAGCTCCATCATACAGTGCACCCTGCACTATACATACAGAGCTCCATCATACAGGGCTCCCTGCACTATACATACAGAGCTCCATTATACAAAGCCCCCTGCACTATACATACAGAGCTCCATCATACAGAGCTCCCTACACTATACATACAGAGCTCCACCATACAGAGCTCCCTGCACTATACATACAGAGCTCCTTCAACTATACATACAGAGCTCCATCATACAGAGCTCCCTGCACTATACATACAGAGCTCCACCATACAGAGCTCCCTGAACTATACACACAGAGCTCCTTCAACTATACATACAGAGCTCCATCATACAGAGCTCCCTGCACTATACATACAGAGCTCCATCATACAGAGCTCCTTCAACTATACATACAGTGCTCCATCATACAGAGCTCCCTGCACTATACATACCGAGCTCCATCATACAGAGCTCCCTGCACTATACATACAGAGCTCCATCATACAGAGCTCCCTGCACTATACATACAGAGCTCCACCATACAGAGCTCCCTGCACTATACATACAGAGCTTCTTCAACTATACATACAGAGCTCCACCATACAGAGCTCCCTGCACTATATATACAGAGCTCCATTATACAGAGCCCCCTGCACTGTACATACAGAGCTCCATCATACAGAGCCCCCTGCACTGTACATACAGAGCTCCATCATACAGAGCTCCCTGAACTATACATACAGAGCTCCTTCAACTATACATACAGAGCTCCATCATACAGTGCACCCTGCACTATACATACAGGGCTCCCTGAACTATACATACAGAGCTCCATCATACAGAGATCCCTGCACTATACATACAGAGCTCCATTATACAAAGCCCCCTGCACTATACATACAGAGCTCCATCATACAGAGCTCCCTACACTATACATACAGAGCTCCACCATACAGAGCTCCCCGCACTATACATACAGAGCTCCTTCAACTATACATACAGAGCTCCATCATACAGAGCTCCTTGCACTATACATACAGAGCTCCATCATACAGAGCTCCCTGCACTATACATACAGAGCTCCATCATACAGAGCTCCTTCAACTATACATACAGTGCTCCATCATACAGAGCTCCCTGCACTATACATACCGAGCTCCATCATACAGAGCTCCCTGCACTATACATACAGAGCTCCATCATACAGAGCTCCCTGCACTGTACATACAGAGCTCCATCATACAGAGCTTCCTACACTATACATACAGAGCTCCATCATACAGAGCTCCCTACACTATACATACAGAGTTCCATCATACAGAGCTCCCTGCACTGTACATACAGAGCTCCCTGCACTATATATACAGAGCTCCATCATACAGAGCTCCCTGCACTGTATATACAGAGCTCCATCATACAGAGCTCCCTGCACTATACATACAGAGCTCCCTGCACTATAAGCATTGCCAGAGCTCCATCATACAGAGCTCCCCCTTTCGCACTATACATGTACAGAGCTCCATCAAGGCCAGAGCTCCCTGCACTATGGGCTACATGCTATAGCTCCATCATACAGAGCTTCCCTGCACTGTGTGCCATACAGAGCTCCCTGCACTATAAGCATACAGAGCTCCATCATACAGAGCTCCTGCACTATACAAGCATACAGAGCTCCATCAAGGCCAGAGCCCTCTGCACTATACATACAAAGCTCCTGCCTTCACTCTGCATAGACTTCATATACAGAGACATACATAGCTCCCCTAAAGTATACATGACTTCACACATCGCTCCTCTTGCATTATATACATACGAGCTCCACCATACAGGAGCTCCTTGCACTATACATACTGAGTTTCCCCATATACAGAGCCCCTACACTATACATACAGAGCTCCACATACAGAGCTCCCTACACTATACATACAGAGCCTGCACTATATATACAGAGCTCCATTATACAGAGCTCCCTGCACTATATATACAGAGCTCTATTATACAGAGCTCCCTGCACTGTAATACAGAGCTCCATCAAACAGAGCTCCCTGCACTATACATACAGAGCTCCCTGCACTGTACATACAGAGCTCCATCATACAGAGCTCCCTGCACTATACATAGAGAGCTCCCTGCACTGTACATACAGAGCTCCCTGAACTATACATACAGAGCTCCATCATACAGAGCTCCCTGCACTAGACATACAGAGTTCCATCATACAAAGCTCCCGACACTATACATACAGAGCTCCCTGCACTATATATACAGAGCTCCATTATACAGAGCTCCCTGCACTATACATACAGAGCTCCATCATACAGAGCTCCCTGCACTATACATACAGAGCTTCATCATACAGAGCTCCCTGCACTATACATACAGAGCTTCATCATACAGAGCTCCCTGCACTATACATACAGAGCTCCATCATACAGAGCTCCCTGCACTATACATACAGAGCTCCATCATACAGAGCTCCCTGCACTATACATACAGAGCTCCATTATACAAAGCTCCCTGCAATATACATACAGAGCTCCATCATACAGAGCTCCCTACACTATACATACAAAGCTCCATCATACAGAGCTCCCTGCACTAACATACAGAGCTCCATCATACAGAGCTCCCTCCACTATACATACAGAAGCTCCCTCATACGGATCTCCTTGCACTATACATGGGCTCCCTCATACCGAGCTTCTGGAGCTTACTGTCAAATATTCCCCTAGAACAGACTGTTGTTGATCTAGTTTAAATGATTCCCATTTAAAAGACATTACATCCAAACACAGCCCTGCAATCAAATGCAAATATTACATACAAACATACCCGTGTATTAAAACACTAAAATTATATAAAAAGATCCCTTCATTTAAACTCCAATACTACACACAGGCATACCTGCATTTGAAAGTCAACACTACGTACAAACAGACCCCTGCATTTAACACAAACACTACACACAAGTACACCACTGCAATGCAATGGCAACAGTACATACAAATACAGCGCTACATGCACACATATACCCTATGCAAAAGCATGCTTACAAATACAAACCCTGCAAGGATGGGGAAATTGTAGATTCCTAGCTGGTATAGCATCATTGGAGATGTACGACAAATTGGGATCTACCTTTTAACCACTCTTGCACAAGAAGTGGGCCCAAAACTTCCCTTCACCAGGACACTCTCTAAATGAGTTATGCCACTGCAAATAGGGTTATGCACTAAAGTACCAATAGCCCCGTACCCAATGGGGCAAAACCATTTGCTGCTGTACAGGACCATTCAGACTTCAAAATTCAGACATTGTTCATGCAATTTGGAAACAGGCCTGAATTATGTGCGGATTTCAGCCAGTTGAAATGTCACCGGATGGCTCAAATCTGGAGCAAATCAAGAGAATTTAAAGGGACACTGTAAGCACCCAGACCACTTCAGCTCATTGAAGTGGTCTGGGTGCAAACTCCCATCACCCTTAACCCTAGAGTGGTAATTATTGTAGTTTTTATAAACTGCAATAATTACCTGCTCGGGTTAACTCCTCCTACCAGACAGCCACTAGAGGGACTTTCGGGCTTGAAGGCAACTTTTCGTCGCATAAACGACACTGGACGCCCTCATGCTATGCATGAGGACCTCCAGCGTCACCGGAATCCCCCATAGGAAAGCACTGAATAATGATTTCCTATGGGGAAATACTAATTGCTGCGCATGCGCATTAGGTCTCCCGCGGCAGAGGAGGAGCGTGGGCGGAGCTGAGCCAGCGCCAAGGGATATTGGTGTTGGACCCAGGTAAGTGATAGAAGGGATAGTTATTAACCCCTTTAACACCACAGAGGTGGTCCTTGACAAAGGAGTAAGCTATAGTGCCAGGAAAACAAGTTTATTTTCCTGGCACTATAGTTTCCCTTTAAATCCTGGCAGGATTTTAAAAAAAATTCTGTACTGTTTGTCTGCTAGCGTTGCTATCAGTCAGTGAGCAAATTATTAAATCCTTGGTGGTGTGAGGGTTAATTATGTGGTGGCTGGCCAGTTCATGAAAGTCAGACACCATATTTGATATTTTTTTTATAAAAAATCAAATCAATAAAAATCCTTTTGGGGGTCAGTAAGATGTCAATGTTACTAAAATGGAGGTATTTTAAGTTTTACACTTTTTTATACATTTTTCATGAGAAAAAGATGAGGGATCTAAAGAAACGTATTGCGTAAGTCAGAAATGTTTAAAAAAGTGATTAGGGAGTAAATGAGTTGTAGTAACCCTTTAAACATGAGATTGACTTTGAATTTTGATTTGAGTGAATAATAATGAGTGTGTTTGCCTTTAAGGACACAATAATAAATGAATAACCCTCAGAAAAGAGTGAATGGAAGATTGCATTGAGTTGATCGCCCTCTTGTGGTGGGAGAGAAAACGAAAAAGCAAAAATAAGCCTACAACACCCGGCTGGTCTTGGTGTATCCGTAACCTTCTCGCAGCCACTGTAACCGTAACCTACTCGCAACCGTCTCCCATCCAAGACCTGCCCAGGCTCCTCCTTGCTGCGCTTCCGAGATCGTGGGATCGGGCAGATTCATGGAGCTACAGCCGTAGGCCGGAAGTGCAGCTTGACAAAGATCCTCTTATCCTTCTCCCAGGCTCCGTCAGCACTGGCTGCTGCTCCCACTCACTGCTCTCACAGAGCTTCACATTGGAGCTTCTTTCAAGCAATCAATGTGCTTCTCAAATGGAGCTCATTCTCTCACATTCACTCCATCTTCTTATTCACTGATTCCCATTCACATCCTCCAAACTCACACTTTCTTTTAGCTCTTCTTATTTTATTTTAACACAACTGGAGCCTGCTTTTATTCACATTTATTACTCTCCCTTTTCAACACTAGCCCAGCTTTACTGCCTGGCTATAGAGCTCCCTACACTATGCATACAGAGCTCCCTGCACTATATATACAGAGCTCCATTATACAGAGCTCCCTGCAATGTAATACAGAGCTCCATCAAACAGAGCTCCCTGCACTATACATACAGAGCTCCATCAAACAGAGCTCCCTGCACTATACATACAGAGCTCCATCATACAGAGCTCCCTGCACTATACATACAGAGCTCCAACATACAGAGCTCCCTGCACTATACATACAGAGCTCCAACTTACAGAGCTCCCTGCACTATACATACAGAGCTCCACCACACAGAGCTCCCTGCACTATACATACAGAGCTCCTTCAAATATACATACAGAGCTCCATCATACAGAGCTCCCTGCACTATACATACAGAGCTCCATCATACAGAGCTCCCTCACTATACATACAGAGCTCCTTCAACTATACATACAGAGCTCCATCATACAGAGCTCCCTGCACTGTACATACAGAGCTCCATCATACAGAGCCCCCTGCACTGTACATACAGAGCTCCATCATACAGAGCTCCCTGCACTATACATATAGAGCTCCATCATACAGAGCCCCCTGCACTGTACATACAGAGCTCCATCATACAGAGCTCCCTGCACTATACATACAGAGCTCCATCATACAGAGCTCAATGCACTATACATACAGAGCTCCCTGCACTATACAAAGCTCCATCATACAGAGCTCCCTGCACTATACATACAGAGCTCCATCATACAGAGCTCCCTGCACTATACATACAGAGCTCCTTCAACTATACATACAGAGCTCCCTGCACTATATATACAGAGCTCCATTATACAGAGCTCCTTCAACTATACATACAGAGCTCCCTGCACTATACATACAGAGCTCCATCATACAGAGCTCCCTGCACTATACATACAGAGCTCCATCATACAGAGCTCCCTGCACTATACATACAGAGCTCCCTGCACTATACATGCAGAGCTCCATTATACAAAGCTCCCTGCACTATACATACAGAGCTCCATCATACAGAGCTCCCTACACTATACATACAGAGCTCCATCATACAGAGATCCCTGCACTATACATACAGAGCTCCATTATACAAAGCCCCCTGCACTATACATACAGAGCTCCATCATACAGAGCTCCCTACACTATACATACAGAGCTCCACCATACAGAGCTCCCTGCACTATACATACAGAGCTCCTTCAACTATACATACAGAGCTCCATCATACAGAGCTCCCTGCACTATACATACAGAGCTCCACCATACAGAGCTCCCTGAACTATACATACAGAGCTCCTTCAACTATACATACAGAGCTCCATCATACAGAGCTCCCTGCACTATACATACAGAGCTCCATCATACAGAGCTCCCTGCACTATACATACAGAGCTCCATCATACAGAGCTCCTTCAACTATACATACAGTGCTCCATCATACAGAGCTCCCTGCACTATACATACCGAGCTCCATCATACAGAGCTCCCTGCACTATACATACAGAGCTCCATCATACAGAGCTCCCTGCACTATACAAACAGAGCTCCACCATACAGAGCTCCCTGCACTATACATACAGAGCTCCTTCAACTATACATACAGTGCTCCATCATACAGAGCTCCCTGCACTATACATACCGAGCTCCATCATACAGATCTCCCTGCACTATACATACAGAGCTCCATCATACAGAGCTCCCTGCACTATACATACAGAGCTCCACCATACAGAGCCCCCTGCACTGTATATACAGAGCTCCATCATACAGAGCTCCCTGCACTATACATACAGAGCTCCATCATACAGAGCCCCCTGCACTGTACATACAGAGCTCCCTGCACTATACATACAGAGCTCCATCATACAGAGCCCCCTGCACTATACATACAGAGCTCCCTGCACTATATATACAGAGCTCCATTATACAGAGCTCCCTGCACTGTAATACAGAGCTCCAACATACAGAGCTCCCTACACTATACATACAGAGCTCCATCAAACAGAGCTCCCTGCACTATACATACAGAGCTCCATCATACAGAGCTCCCTGCACTATACATACAGAGCTCCATCATACAGAGCTCCCTGCACTATACATACAGAGCTCCCTGCACTATATATACAGAGCTCCATTATACAGAGCTCCCTGCAATGTAATACAGAGCTCCATCAAACAGAGCTCCCTGCACTATACATACAGAGGTCCTTCAAATATACATACAGAGCTCCATCATACAGAGCTCCCTGCACTATACATACAGAGCTCCATCATACAGAGCTCCTTCAACTATACATACAGAGCTCCATCATACAGTGCACCCTGCACTATACATACAGAGCTCCATCATACAGGGCTCCCTGCACTATACATACAGAGCTCCATTATACAAACCCCCTGCACTATACATACAGAGCTCCATCATACAGAGCTCCCTACACTATACATACAGAGCTCCACCATACAGAGCTCCCTGCACTATACATACAGAGCTCCTTCAACAATACATACAGAGCTCCTTCAACTATACATACAGTGCTCCATCATACAGAGCTCCCTGCACTATACATACCGAGCTCCATCATACAGAGCTCCCTGCACTATACATACAGAGCTCCATCATACAGAGCTCCCTGCACTATACATACAGAGCTCCACCATACAGAGCTCCCTGCACTATACATACAGAGCTTCTTCAACTATACATACAGAGCTCCATCATACAGAGCTCCCTGCACTATATATACAGAGCTCCATTATACAGAGCCCCCTGCACTGTACATACAGAGCTCCATCATACAGAGCCCCCTGCACTGTACATACAGAGCTCCCTGCACTATACATACAGAGCTCCATCATACAGAGCCCCCTGCACTATATATACAGAGCTCCATTATACAGAGCTCCCTGCACTATACATACAGAGCTCCACCATACAGAGCTCCCTGCACTATACATACAGAGCTTCTTCAACTATACATACAGAGCTCCACCATACAGAGCTCCCTGCACTATATATACAGAGCTCCATTATACAGAGCCCCCTGCACTGTACATACAGAGCTCCATCATACAGAGCCCCCTGCACTGTACATACAGAGCTCCATCATACAGAGCTCCCTGAACTATACATACAGAGCTCCTTCAACTATACATACAGAGCTCCATCATACAGTGCACCCTGCACTATACATACAGAGCTCCATCATACAGGGCTCCCTGAACTATACATACAGAGCTCCATCATACAGAGATCCCTGCACTATACATACAGAGCTCCATTATACAAAGCCCCCTGCAC